TGAATGACCAACTACTTGGGTGACTCAGTTTCAGACGTCTCACCATTTCCTGATATTTTTATTTCAGAACAAATTGACTTTGTGATTTTCTGTATTCAATTTATATAGCTGGTTTAAGAAAGATAAATCCCATATCAAAAATATCTCAAATCATTAACCTGCATATGTAGTTTCTTAAATATTTCTGTTCTGTTCAGCTGCAGAACTTGTACATGAAAACAATTCAAATGTGACTTTACTGCAGTAAAGGATGTGTTGACCTTCACAGCCCGACTTGCCTGAACTCATAGACCACACTGCCACATTACTATTCTCAGCAGGTTGTGTTCCTGTGGGATGGTCTGCATGTCTTTGTCCGCTGGCAGTGGTCAAATTCTTTTGCCAGACCAGCCCAGAACACATTCACATTCTTTATAACAGTTCAGTGTGGAAGAAATTCCTGATTCCTCCTCGTTCTTGTCTCCGTTTCTCCTCCAGCAAATAATCTTTTTCCTCGGTTTGTCGTCTCCCTTCTCATCCCCTCTGTCTGGCTGGGGAGCACAAGGAGGTCCATGGAAGGAGCTGTAAATGGCTGAGGAGCTGTGTACTGGCTGGTTTCGCATCATTGCAGGTACAGTTGGTAAAAACCCTTTTCTTGACCATTCAGTATAGAACATCACACCCTCAGAGTCAGCAGTGAGAACCTGGATTTAATGCATTCCTAAAAATCAGGGATATATAGATTGTCTTTATTTTTTAATTTCTTTTATATTTTCCGGGGTTTGTTCTAAAGGATCGCATGCATGTGGTGAAAAATGTGGTGTGTGTCTTGTTTTGAGTGTGTGAGCTGTAGAAAAAGTGTGTGTGAGCTGAGTTCATCAATAACCATCACATTTTTTTTACCTTGTTGGTATGTTATTGCCATATCATGTAGGCATGACAGTTAGCAAGCTTACATGCATTAACGAGTGCAGAGTGTCTTTGCATATTCACTCTGTGTGTCTGCTAAGAAGGTGCATCAGGAACACTCAGGTTCTGTCCTTTTAAAGAGAAAATCAAAGGGAGGCAGACATGAGTTGTGAGGTAGAAAGAAGTAGATATTCCCGTGGCGTTCAAACACTAATCTTTCATTTTAAAGGTGCATTCAGATCAGTCACAAAGCCAAATTTAGGAAAACTGCTCATCCAGATAAAAATGTCACCACTTACTAATCTGTTATGCAAGAAGAACATCACGTGTTGTACTCAACAATAAACGAGATGTGTTTGTCTTTATTCAGGCTGCTCCAGTCCACTGTAGCTCCAAAACAGATCTTATAGGGCATTAGGCTTTATTTAGCAAATCCCCGCCCCTTCCTCCTCCCTTATTTCACACACACACACACACACACACACACACACACACACACACACACGCACACACACACACACACACACACACACACACTAGCTGGCATGGCAGCTCAATCACTACACATGTCACTTTATTTGTCAAAGTGAATAGCTTGATACCCGCTTGTTGCCACGGTAATTTGATGATATAACAGTAAATGAGACAAATGCCACAATATCTCTCGCCTCCTTAACACCGGTGAACTTCTACGTTTCACTTATGATTCTCATTGAACACTAGGTGGCAGTGCAGGAGAAGATGCTAGTTGTGTCACATCCAACTAACTCATAAGGAGAGAGGCAAGTCAAACACAGGAGAGTTAATGATAAGATGGTGAGAATATAGATGTAGAGAGAACATAATATGTTGTATGTGAACACAAGTAAATGGAGGCAGAAAACAAATAAACACGGACAGAGGTAGCTTTGGAGGGATGGGGTGGTTCAAGGGGGAAGGCGATTAAAGCATGACCGCCCTCTTTGGGAGCATCTGCAGGGTGTTAAGACAGAAGAGCTGGGTGAGAAAACACAGAGTCATGAAAGGAGGGAGGAGGCAAGTGACAGATTGAGCCACACAGAGGCAGCTTGACCAAAATAACAGGAGGAAAAAAAACAGGCAAAAAGGGAGAAATCTGTAAATGAAAAGAGGAGAGTTGACAAATGAGAGCGGAAGAAAATTAGATTTTGGAGGGAGGGGGCCATCATCACATGGGATTAAGAGTGAGTTGGGAGGATTCATTGGGCATGGAGAGGCACGCAGCTGGTTTCTTTTGAAGCGTGACTGAAGATAGAGAAATAGATTGAGAGAGTTAGAGATGCTTATTTGCCTCTCCAGTGGATTTGAGATGCCACATTGTTTCTCAGAAACACAGAGTATACAGAATTCAAACGTGAATATTTCATAATAGAAAATATTCTCTGTGACAACTGATGCACCTCACAGTCTAATGTTCAAAAGTACTACAGGTAAGTTCTCTTGGTATGTTTGAGTAAAGATTGATCTTTTTTTATGAGGCTAGCTTCATATTATTCTGAAATAATCTGGTATTGTTGAAGAGGAAAATAGGTATTGATATCATGTTACTTTAGGAAACCCTGTAAACTATGAGTAGGTCTGCAGTCTCTGACTTACCAATATGTAATACACTAAAGACTTCCTAGTTAAAAAAAACTGTTTCTTAAAACAACTAAGAAGTGTATGAACATTTGTGCAACATCGAACATTTTCTTTTATTAATAAAAAAAAAGGTGTTATCACTGTGTAATTGTTAACAGACTAACAGTATACTGTATTATTTGATGTGATTTCTTTATGATTTTTATGTAAAGATTGCAATTGTACTTTTGTACATTATTTCTCTCTGATGTTATTTAGTTTATTTGACCATGCAAAATGGACTAAATACATTTAAACAAAAGGAAACTCATAAATTAAACTCAAAATAAAGTATATTTAAAGGCTTTATATGTGATTTTTTGATCCAGCAGATGTCGCCCTTGAGCACCAGCATGAAACCAAAACAACTCGTGCTGCATTGTTGTGTTAGCATGCTAATGCTAGCGATCTTTATTATGCTGGTATCTTCACACTGCATGTAAATTTACCTGAAATGAGCGTGATCTAGAAACACAGTTAAGCAGTGAGTACAGTATGTTATTCTTCTTTTCTCTAGTCCCTCAATTAAACAACTTTTATACACGAGGGGAGGAGTCAGCCGGCCGTCCCGGCGATGTAAACAAAGTGAAGATAGGACTCTGAAAACTCTGAAAACATCACAGACAGTGGGACTCGGGTGTTACACCCATTGTAGACAGTCATTATTACAGCTATTCACTGTTCCTAAATTAAGTGAAAGTCTATATTCTTATTTTTGGGATATTTTGGGAATACATTTGAATATTAGATTATGTTCGGGGTATTTTGATTATTATTGTTTACATTTATATGAGTTATTTCCATTCGTTTATTTTGCTACTTGGGGCATAAGGGTGGAGTCTGTACATGGGTGTGTCTTTAAAGCCAGGTAGCCAGGTGAGACTCAGGTAGGCACCTAATGGGTTAATGGTTTTTTACCAGGAAGCCAGGACGCAATGGCAGGATGACAGGGCAAGAGAGACAGCAGCGTTTTTGTTGTTTGTTGCCTGCTTTTTGTCTCTGGATAAAATAAACCACCCTAAAAACCTTCAGTCATCACCTGGACAGTGGACTTATTAATATATCCTGTGTGGCTTTATTATGAGTTTGTGTTAAGTTTATAATTTTTTTTTGTTTTGTTATTTATAGACCATAGATATCACCACTACAGTCATGACTCAGAGTTATTTTCAGAGGATATACTTGATTTCTACATTTAAGTGTGAGAAATCACATATAAAGCCTTCAAATAATATTACATTTAAAAAACTTTAAAATTAAACATCTTTGTTATCTCTTCTTTTTTTGACTTACTTCATAAGAAACATCACTATTATCCATTTAAAAAAAAAACTATTTTGACTACAATGATCACCACACCTCCTACTAGTTAAACTGCACTCAAATGGCTTGCTGCATTAATTCCACTTTTATATTCCGATATGATTTTTTACCCCCAAATTTAACTTTTCGTTGTTCTTGTTTTCCTAATTGTTAGTCTCCTCTGCTCCTGTGTCGTGCACATAAACATCCACCTCCTCTCTGCCTCTTGTCCCCCCCCCACCCCTTCTTAGAAAATGAATCAACACACACACCAAAACATAAAGTCCCATGTGGTTGTAGCATGCGCTGCAAGTAGCTGATCGATCCTCGCCTCTGTACACTTAGAAAGCACCGACACAAAATAAGACAGAGACTGAAAGAGACCGACAGAGAGAGAGAGAGAGAGAGAGAGAGAGGAGAAAGGTGGGAGGGAATGGGGGGGGAGAGAAAGAGAGAGAGGGCCGAGTGAAACCACACCTTATTGCAAGAGGGGCGGGACACAAACAGGGGCACACAGGCAGCTACTACAGGATTAGTCACTGTGCAGGAGGCTGCAGGGAAAATCTTTTTTTTTCTGTTATTATTCAGTCTGCGTGTGTGTGTGTGTGTGTGTGTGTGTGTGTTTGTCCTGAACATGGGTTGTCACTTGAATCACAACTGCATGCTACTCTGTCTGCGAGCAAATAATTGATGTCATTCACCGCTGGGCAGGTTCTGCACACTGCACTGACATAAGGTAGGATGAAGGAGAGGGGCTGCATGTGCTGTGTGTGTGTGTGTTTAGAATATGTGTGCACCCTCTGTATTTACTCTGTACATGTCTTTTTGGCATCTATGTGCACCTATTTGGATATGTAAACACACCTCTGTGTATTTAGTGTAATCGTAGGATTATTTGTCAAGCCAGAGAGGTTACTAACGTAGCGTTCTCTTGGGCCATGGTGTCAGGAGACTCGAGCTGTATGAGCCATGTGACTCCACAAAGAGCTGCTCGGATTGGCCGAGGCCATCTCTGACCTCAGCAAGCTGCCTCCGCCCCTACTCAACACTCCCACCCACCCCCTTACTAAGCACACACACACACACACACACACAACCCTCCCTCTCTGTCATTCTCTCTCTCTCTCTCTACCCTGCTTCTGTTATTTATTTTTTTCCTCCTCCAGTTAGATTCCCCCCCCCTCCTCCTCTCAGCATCCTCGGCTGTAGGTTAGAGCCGCAGCAGCAGCAGCAGCAGCATCCATGGCTTAAGCCCGAGCTCTGATCGGCAGCTAGCCCGGCCAGGCCCCTACCCCTTCTCTCTCCTCTTTTCTGTCTCTCTATCTCTCTCTCTCTCTCTCTCTGTTTTTCTTCTCCCTTCTGGGATAGTTGACAAGCATCGTCTGGGATCGTTTGAGGCTCTCACAGTTAGCCAGGGCGTTAGCCACATGCACACGGCTGCTCAGCTGCTGCCCATCAATTCTACTGTATCTCTGTGGTAACCAGGGGCTTCGTTTCCTCTCCCCCTCCCACCACCTCCTGCTTTCATTTCAGGCTCCTTGGAGATAGAGGAATGCAAATCTGCAACCATGATGGAAGGTAAGCTGTTTTTTCTTGTGATATTGTCCTGTGCTGTATTTCTTTTAAGGGGTAATCCCCCTTTATGTCCTTGTCCCACAACGCTTCATCTGCCAGCCAGCGTGTTTGTCTGTATGTGTTTTGGGACATTCAAATGTCATAAGCTGCCCTGCTATTTTAAGAGCATACATTCCACTGACTTGCATGTTATTCTTAGGAAAGGGGGCATCGCCACTGAATGTCTTCCTCTGAGGCACAATAGCAAGGCTAATTGCACTGTTTGTACCTTTTGTCACTAAAGTGTGTTTGTGCGTGTGTGCGCAAATGTCTGAGTACCCCCCCCCCCTCAACCCCCCAACCCCCCATTTCCCCGCTTCCCCATCGTAAAGGATTATTTGGATTTATTGTGCAAGAAGGCTTATGTGCCCAGCTGGCTCACTAGTATGAATTCTCTTTGTATGGTGTTCTCTAAAAAAAACATGCACACTCACACACTCACTCACACACACACTCACACACTCACACACACACACACAGATAAATCCTTGCAGCGCTGTGTGACTCTGCTCACACTTCATGGCCATTTTCCTCAGCGGGTGGATTGTGTGTCTGTGGTGGCAGCATGCGCACACACACCCATGGTTGGACATATCTATCTATTTTTGGGATGCGTGTTGAGAGGACAGAGGGAATTGATGACTGTTTATTTGTTTCATGTCCCTTTAACTGATGACATCATCAGAGGGGGGAAGGCCAGTGATGGAGGGATGAATCCCTACAGCTCTGCAGCTGGCAACACGAAAAACCTCCATCCATCCATCTGTTTCACATGACAACTCTTTATTTCTTATCTCTCATCATGTCTGTCATCGTGTATTAAAAACTACAGTCCATTTGTTTATCCAGGACATCCTCGATACGTTGACTTTAACTTCATTTTTTATCAACCTTGAGTTATGTAAGCTCTCACAAGCAGCAGTAAATAGGCAATGTATTGTGGCAGTGGACATGTGGAAACAGGGATCCGCCATTTTTGCTCGCACCCCAGGGGGTGATGTTCATGGTTAATTTTTTTCATTACGGTTCCAAAAAAATGTCAGTGATGTTTTCATTCAAGCCTGTTTGTTCCAGTTCATTTAGAACATGAACACCATGTCAGCATGTCTGTTGACCAGGAAGAATCCCATTAGCTCCTTGTCTACTGTCGTTGTGCTTGTGCATGTTTATTTGTCTATCAGTGTTTTTTTAAAGGAATTGTATTCATGCTGCCCGGCGTGCTTGTTGGTCGGCTATCAGAGAGGTTGTTCATAGAAGGAGTAGAAAGGTCATTGAGTGGATTTGATGGGGTTTGCTGAAACCTCTCAAATTGGAGTGACAGATCTCAGCTAGTTGGTACTTTCTTGCATTTTTGGACTTTTAAACCAGTGATAACACTCGCCATGTATTATTCTTTGGTGTGTCTTCTGTTGCTGGCTCACTGTGTGAAATGTGATGGATGTTTCTGTAAATATGACATTAGTTTATTATTAAGCCTGTGGTTGCTGTTGCATTTGAAAATGTAGCAGTGAAAATATAATATCCACCATGCCTGATTCTTTTTTAAATCAGACTTTTCTTTTTGACTGTCCTCCATCTTCAGGTTTATTGCTACATGCCGATGCACGTTTAATAAAAGTCTGTGTGATATCTATCTGTCTGTATGTCTTCAAGATGAGTTTTTAACAGTTGAATTGGTTCATGCATCAATAATGACTCCTCCCAAATGTTTGATTAATCTTTATAGAACTGCAGTGAGAGAGTATCATGGAAAAGGCAACCGTCTGTTTGTCAGTCTGGAGTAGTTTGTAACAATCACTGTGTGTCAGATACACGATTACACAAATGACACACTGCTGCAGTATAGGTTATCATTAAGAAGAAAGCTAAACATGTTACGCACAATGTTATCTATTTAGCTTATGCCAACTCTGCAGGCAAACATGCAAAACCCGATGTTCTCTCCATGAAATAATAATGGACCAATCATAGCCGTAACAGTCTCCCTTCAGTATTTGGTGAATTAATTTGTGTTTTTCGAAACGTTAAGCGAATCTTCTGTACTTTTCTGATTAGTCCAAAATAATAGTGGTGTTTCTTTTGTTTTGAATGGATATCAAAGGGTTGTGTATGTAATCTCTACCCTCTTTGTTTGGTTAGATACAGCAGAATGTTTTAACAGTTACAGAACTAATTGATACAAAAATAGATTTATAGTTTAGGATTCTCAAAGTTAACTTCAAGGGTAAGATATTCAGGAGCTATCTATTGCCCCCCCCCCCATGTGTGCCGTCCTGTCATCGACTCCATTTGTCACGAGCCAAAGTGTTAGGTAACAGACGCGAAGAGAAAAAAAGAACTGTCTGCAAACTGCTTCTCTCACATTAGCATGGCTAGCTCAGGCTTAGCATGGACTGTGTGGGGGCAGGATTACAGTCAGGTGTTAAAATTGGATGCTAATCCTTGTTAGCTCTGCTTTTTAAAGCCCCATGCCATGGCCAGCATGGTTGTCCCTGGATAACTCAGAGGGTAGAAAACATGAGGCAATAACTTGACTTCAGGTCGAACAGAGAGGAGCAGGCAGGTCATGCTTTGTTCTGGTCTTCATGACGACTATTTTATTTCAAGAAACAGCAAACTGGATTAAAGCAGGTTGAGCTAAATATAACTATGTGACCTCCAAATGATGACTCCAAATTGTTACTTTTCCTTCAGTAAAGTCCAAAGATCTAACCTTGGATGTACTTTGGCTTAACAGAATTTATCATAAACATTTTCTAGGAATTTCCTGGGCGTCCTGCAAGTGGGATTACTTCATTAGGGTGTTGGTGCATGCTTTCCTGTACTCACGAGAGCCTGCACATGTGTGTCGCTTACTCAACTCTTTTTCTACATAATCATCGGGTGGGTTTCCTGATCCAACTGGACTTAGAGGGGTGGAGTTGTTGTAGGATGCTTAGCAACCCTCGGGACAAAGATGAAGTTAAATCGATTAAAATTCAGTGTTTCAATTGAAGACTCAAATCTGACAGAATCTGAGGTCGACATGTTTTTGTTTGAAGAAATGGTTGATGGGTTCATTCTTTATCCGTCCAACACTTACACAGACTTCCATTGGTTGATTGATAGTGAGACAATTTGCTGTTTATATTTCCGGTCCCCAGAAGAAGAATCGTTATGTATTGAATAACCCTCTTACCCTATACTCTAATACAGCCATCCTTTCATCTTAATCTAAAAAAGCTTAATACCCTGACATTGTCAAGTTTTCCCTGGAGCCTCAACAACTTCTTTTCTATATTCAGACCAAATTGTAAACTTTGAACTGTTCCACCCAATGGGGAAACCCTCTTGAATTTAATGAGCCTATGGCATTTCCTGTAGCTCCATGTTATGAAAGTGAACATTATTGTCCCAGCACTGATAAAGCTCTTAGAAAAGCAGATTCTGTTTGTTGTTCTCCGGTATGTTGACAGAGTGTTGTTGACTCAATCCAACACATTTGTGGGTTGTTATGAACACTGCAATGCTTCAGACTTGTAGTCTGGTTAATCCTAGTTAGGAATCAGACTGTCACAGGGAGGCCCAGTACTTAAAGCTTGCCAGGCTGGTAAACTTAAACCCCTTGACTGGAATGCTGCAGAGTAGAGGGCAGAGAGGACGCAAGGCCATATGGTGGACTTTACTTCATTCCTCTAATAAATGGTTAATTACCTGACTACACTTGATATGATCACTACATTTTATTACAGTGACATAAAACCTGATTGTATACACAAATATATATAATCATATTGTTTCTTTTGTAAAGTAGTTCTATGTTCCCTGATTATTTCTGTCAAAGCATATGGGTTATGTCCACTTACCCAGCGTTTCAGAAGCATCCCAGCATTAAAACAAGTGGTCTCTTTTAGTTTGATTTTAAGGAAATGAATATGATATTGTTCCTGAAACCCTTTATTAATTAGTGTTTGTTTTATATTGGTCCTGTGTCAGCACTTGGACTTCAGTTGTTTCAACAATCAGCATCACTGTCTACTTGTCTGTCTACTCGCCGTTATATTGAATAGTTTCTGCTGATAATATGTCTACACTCATGCACTTTAACTTATACCAATACTGTCCATTTACCACTCTGTTTTTGCACATTTACATTCAATCTTCCATATTTAAGACGAGTAATGCTAAGTTAAATCCTGGTTGTATATATTCACATTCTTAGTTTTGATATTTTTAGTACTTATTTACTTTGTATTTAATATTATATTGTGTTTTTTGCTCATATTGTGTGTTTGGACAACCTGCTGCTGTAACGCCACAATTTCCCAGTTTGGGATCAATAAAGTCATTCTATTCTGTTCTATTATCATTTAAGTCACGACAGGATTACGTTCCTAGAGGAGATAGAAAGAATAAGATAGGCAGATATTCATTACGCTGACTGCTTGAAGCGTGGTGTTCAAGTACAAGTTGGTCAGAGCCCGACGGCATCAGCAAGATAACTGAGGTTTGAGGTAACAGCCATCTATTCCAATGTTTCTCTTACAGAGTCTGAGCTGCTTCAGGGAGACTTGTAACACAAACATGATAACAGTAGCTTGTTAGCAATGATGTAATGGCACTATAATCCTATATGGATTCATTATAGTGGAAGTTGTGTTCAGCTATATCATTCCATTTTACAAACATGGAATGAGTTAAGCCAAACACTCACTCACAATGACATTTTATTACCAATGAAATCACTTTGAGAAGTATCAGTGACTTTAGATATAGTAGCACATTTCTGATTGCTCTCTCAGGAAGGCTCTGCAGCCATATGGTTTCCAGGGTAACTACCGTGAGGCTGACTCATGACTGGTTTTGCACTGAGTTTGGCAGAGGCTCCCAACTGCAAATATCTGAATACATTTCTAAATAACATGTTGTATCACTGCGAGCAGAGAAATGTAAAGGATGGTGTGCCAGGTCTATCCATGACATTC